ATAACCACCTCAGTTATGCGAAAAGCTATATACAGCTGCAATGTTAAAAGTGAAAACATGCTGTGTATAGCCCACTTGACCAGTGAATAAAAATCTAACGTTCTATTACCGGCAGTAGCTTTCTTTCACTTTGCTTTAAAAGGAGATATGATTTATCTTTGCTTTCTACATGCAACTCTTTGATTAACAAATAAGTGCAGGTGCTTGCGCAAAACAATATCCCAATCATGAAATGGATTTAATTTCCCAGGCTGTACATCACTGCCCCTCCATGGATCTCCTTGGTGGTGCAGAAGTCTGTCTTAATGAGAGACTGGAGCTGGAGAGATGGAAACAATCGTTGGGTTGCTTATTCCAATGTCATATGATTTGAATCATTGTTATTTCATAACGAAAGACCATCTCCAACACACATACCTCTTTCAAAGCCCCTATGTCCATTTTCTCAAAAGCTACAGAGATGAGAGAAAACATTGTTTTAAATAATTGTAAGTAAAATATAACAGGTCTCAAGTACAAGAAACCTTTTACTAGCGGAGTAAAAAAAACACAAAAAGCATAGTAGTCTCAGCATGCAAACACTTAACAGAACATGATAACATTGACACATTTAATAGCTGAAATGTCATGGGGGATATGATGTCAGCCCCATTTCTTACTCTGGTGAGAAGGGTCCTCTTTTGCAGCACATACAGTGCATTTGGAAAGTATTCAGACCCCTTGACTTTTTCCACATTTTGTTACATTACAGCCTTATTCTAAAATGGATTAAATTGCTTTTTTTCCTCATCAATCTACACACAATACCCCATAATGACGAAGCGAAAACAGGTTTTTAGAATATTTTGCAAATGTAAAAAAATAAAAAACATACCTTATTTACATAAGCATTCAGACCCTTTGCTATGAGACTCAAATTGAGCTCAGGTGCATCCTGTTTCCATTCCACAATTTAAAATATGTCTGGTCTGTCTTGGAACATATGGGAATTGGCTCCAATTTTCATTAATATGATTAAAATACTACTGTATATGCCAATCCCTCAGCCATAGTTATAACATGCAATTTCTGCTCTTCTCCGTTCAGAAGCACTAGAAGCAGCAGACAAATCGATCCAAACACATTGAATATTGTAAATAAATTCAGCTTCATCTCATGCTCTAAATTTTATCTAACCAAATCAGCCCTACTGCCTCAAGACCCTGATGGAGGACTCGATCAAATTGATTTGAAAGAGAGACTTTACTTATGGAATCCCAATCGTTTCCCATTTCAAATATTTGATATATTTCCTTCCTTAGATAAAACCATTGCCAGAAACTTTATCAGATTGCTCAAATCAATTCAAATATGGTGTCTCCTATTGCTCTGGAAGAGGTGGTTTTCACACATTTAAATACAGTGCCTTCGGAAAGTATTCAGACCCCTTGACTTTTTCCACATTTTGTTACATTACAGCCTTATTCTAAAATGGATTAAATTGCTTTTTTTCCCTCATCAATCTACACACAATACCCCATAATGACAAAGCGAAAACAGGTTTTTAGAATCTTTTTCAAATGTAAAAAAATAAATAATAATACCTTATTTACATAAGTATTCAGACCCTTTGCTATGAGACTTGAAATTGAGCTCAGGTGCATCCTGTTTCCATTGATCATCCTTGAGATGTTTCTATAACTTGATTGTAGTCCACCTGTGGTAAATTCAATTGATTGGACATGATTTGGAAAGGCACACACCTGTCTATATATGGTCCCACAGTTGGCTGTGCATGTCAGAGCCGCATGTCAGAGCCACAAATATCACATTTACATAAGTCTTCAGACCCTTTACTCAGTACTTTGTTGAAGCACCTTTGGCAACGATTACAGCCTCAAGTCTTCTTGGGTATGACACTACAAGCTTGGCACACCTGTATTTGGTGAGTGTCTCCCATTCTTCTCTGCAGATCCTCTCAAGCTCTGTCAGGTTGGATGGGGGACGTCGCTGCACAGCTATTTTCAGGTCTCTCCAGAGATGTTCGATCGGGTTCAAGTCCGGGCTCTGGCTGGGCCACTCAAGGACATTCAGAGACTTGTCCCGAAGCCACTCCTGCATTGTCTTGGCTGTGTGCTTAGGGTCGTTGTCCTGTTGGAAGGTGAACCTTCGCCCCAGTCTGAGGTCCTGAGCGCTCTGGAGCAGGTTTTCATCAAGGATCTCTGTACTTTGTTCATCTTTCTCTCGATCCTGACTGGTCTCCCAGTCCCTGCTGCTGAAAAACATCCCCACAGCATGATGCTGCCACCACCATGCTTCACCGTAGGGATGGTGCCAGGTTTCCTCCAGATGTGACGCTTGGCATTCAGGCCAAAGAGTTCAATCTTGGTTTCATCAGACCAGAACAGAAAATCTTGTTTCTCATGGTCTGAGAGTCCTTTAGGTGCCATTTGGCAAACTCCAAGCGGGCTGTCATTTGCCTTTTACTGAGGAGTGGCTTCCATCTGGCCACTCTACCATAAAGGCCTGATTGGTGGAGTGCTGCAGAGATGGTTGTCCTTCTGGAAGTTTCTCCCATCTCCACAGAGGAACTCTCCCTGACCAAGGCCGTTCTTCCCCGATTGCTCCGTTTGGCTGGGCGGCTAGCTCTAGGAAGAGCCTTCGTGGTGCCAATCGTCTTCCATTTAAGAATGATGGAGGCCACTGTTCTTGGGGACCTTCAATGTAGAATCATTTTTTGGGTACCCTTTCCCAGATCTGTGCCTCGACACAATCCTGTCTCGGAGCTCTACGGACAATTCCTTCGACCTCATGGCTTGGTTTTTGCTCTGACATGCACTGTCAACTGTGGGACCTTATATAGACAGGTGTGTGTCTTTCCAAATCATGTCCAATCATTCGAATTTACCACAGGTGAACTCCAATCAAGTTGTAGAAACATCTCAAGGATGATCAATGGAATCAGGATGCACCTGAGCTAAATTTCGAGTCTCATAGCAAAGGGTCTGAATACTTATGTAAATAAGGTTTATGTTTTTTTGTAGTAAAACATTTGCTAACATTTCTAAAAACCTGTTTTCGCTTTATCATTATGGGGTAGTGTGTGTAGATTGATGAGGAATAAAAACAATGTAATCAATTTTATAATAAGGCTGTAAGGTATGTGGGAAAAGGGAAGGGATCTGAATACTTTCCGAATGCACTGTATAGCCCCTGATAGGCCTACATCTTATTTCAGATAGTCTATAGTTGCCTAGGCAAGATGTAAACTTAACAATTTAGCAGCTTGCTTAGTTAAAATGAACAGACGAATTTATTCAGCATGAATAGTTTGGCAATTTCGATGTAAGAAGTGCTTGTGTTTTCCAATAACCTGCTGGAATAGGCTAATGAGGATGGGGTCGTAATTTCAATCACATAATTAAATATGAATAAGTATATGAACTGAATATGCTTGTCAACAACAGCCAGTGTTTCTTTTTATTTTTTACCTGTAGTTTAATCTGACTGACCGTTACCGTCAATCTAATGCGTTCTAACATCTGATCGGCAGTTGCGATAGAGCTTTGATAACTTCCAATTCATTTAACTGAACATGGCCATTAATAAATTGTATAATAACACAAGGCTACACTTAAATTATAGGCTATTTATTACATCTGTTTGCCAGCTCCAGGTAGGCTACACAAGTGGCACAAATGGATTTGCAATGACTCCAGTGATATAGGCCTAGTCATTTCAACATATTTATTGTATCAAATGGTAGCCTACAGTAGCCTTCAATGGCATATAAATTAATAGGCTACTTGATGGCCAACAGATGCAAATGTATAATTGTCCACATTTAATGTCAGTTTCATTGAGGACTTTTCCCTATAACATAAGCACACAAGGGAGTTCCATAACTTCCATTTAAAATGTCCACTCGCACAACCCTGAGACCTAAGAACTGAGCATACATAAAACACTTAACTTGATACCGTTTTACATAAGCAAAGTCCACATTAGACTGAAGTTTAAACCACCTCAGAGCAAATTATCTAATGCGCTCTAGTGCGCCAAAGTCGTTTTCCAGTGCTTTGTCGCCGTTAGTTCTTGATGCGCATCAGTTCTAGCATGTTGGGGAAAAAACAGGTGTCTCCATAATGACAATTTAAATAGCCAACCTACAACTGGTAAAAAGTTGTCATGTCTTGCGCACATGCTGCTCTGTCTCCTCTCACTTACATGACTTAGCCAACAGTGGACTAAGCTGCCTGCTGCAGTACTCTCGCAACACACACACCCCTCCGGCCCTCCCCACCACTCACTCACTGATAGTCAGCAGCAGCAGGTCACAGTGAAATATATTATTTTTTTTATGAGAAAAGCCATGGCGGCCGCGGTGCAACTTAGAAGTAACCTAATTTGACTGGAAACTCAAGGACATGGCAACCCTGGATAGGAGGGAAGCCAAATCCAAACTGGCTTCCATTGACACTTTTTTTTGGTGCGCCAGGACCATTCACAGTTGAGCACACGCAGTTTAGCTCAATGCTGATTGGCTATTATTTTATACTTGTTTTTTTTTTATCAAGGGAGACCAAGTGCTCGCTGGCTTCCCTTGCATTCAACGCTATCGGCGGCAACAACGTCATACTCTTTTGGACCAGACAGCATCAGATAGATGGCCTACACATACAGAGACAGAGGGGCGCTGTTTCGCTCGCTCTGATGCTTTCTCCGGTGAGATACTGTACATTTTTGCCCCCACCAGAGAGGAGAGAACCAAAACTCTACTTACTTCCGGAAGCTGTGTAGTGGGACCAAAAAGAGAAACGATTATTTAACACCTCTCTGATAATACTCTTCTTGGTTTTACTCATGTTTGGGACTTCATGACATTGATGAACTAATATAATGGTGTTTTTATATTTATTTGCGCTCTCTAGATTTACGGAAGTCGCTATCAGAAGAAGAGGAAGCTAATTGAAATGGCCATCTTAACAATTTTCCACAAGCTTTGGTAGACGTGTGCGCATGCGCAAACGGTGAGTCATCCGGGTTCTCGCGTGTAGAATAGACTGGAAGAACCTTTACTACTGGAACATCGAACTAAACTCAGACATCACGGAAAGAACAACTCGAATCTAATTTTAGGGAGTTCTTCAAGTGTACCATGACGGTAAGTGTTTACAAAATACATTACCATCGGCTTCATATAATTTGTTAACTATTGCTATTTTAAAGATGTTGTTTCATCAAGATGGCGTCTCTCTGGCCGTGGCAGCCATAGCATTATGAATTAGAATACGATCTCTAGTGGCAGCCATGTCGACAAGCCAGCGAGTTTAGGGTTAGTTAAGTTAGCTAGCTAACTAAAGATAATTTGGCCTGCTAACCGCCATTAGTTAGGTAAGTCGCTTTTACCAGGTTGGCATGTCGTGTTGATTTAGTAAATAAATTGAAATTCTCCTTCATATAGCTATTGGTCAAAGTTGGCTTGCACAGCCGTTACTTAGTAAACCTAGCTAGTTAACGCCGTAAGATAGCCATCTAGGTAATTTAGCAATGAATGAGTGGTTGTTTTGCCACTTGCAATCTAGCTAACTAATCTCTGTTTAGAACGACCGCCTTTATTCATTATTCATGAACTGGTTTTGTAGCCTCGGTGTGGGCTGCAGACTCCCTTTTTATAGGTGTGCAACTTTAACAAACCAGCTGCCCATGGCCATCAGGATCTTCATTGGGTGTATTGGTAGGGTTGGAACAAATAACTGCATACCCAGTACCTGTCCAGGAGGAGGGCTTGTCACTTCTGAGATGTTATATTTGTTTCCCAAAGAGCAATCTTCAGTGAATCAATGTTAGTGTAAGGGAGGTACAGTATGTCCAGTTGCGTCGGTGTGACTGACGAGTCTAGTTTGCCTAAACATCAGGCTGTTCCCATGGTTACTCCATGGATCTCAGTCTGAAAGAAGTCGCTGTTAAAAAAAAACCCAGTAGTCTCTACAAGCCAGAATGTTGAATACAATGATATTTAAACGTACTTTACCGGTTGTCCGTGTTCTTGGTCCTTTGGGCGGTAGGAAGTGGAGATGGGGTGACCACAGTAGTGTTTACCTGACTTTTGGCGGCGCCAGTAGGTTCTGTTGCTTGTATTTTCCATCTCCTGACGCATTTCACGTGATGCACAATATGTAAACAATAGCCGAATGTAACGGAACGTTGTCCTTATGTAGGAGGTAATCTGAGACAAAATATCAAGTGTTATTAACCAAAGCGCGTTCCATCGCCATCAGCTGGAAGTGCTTGTGAAATGTGCCAGCTGATTGCATGGGACAACGTTTGGTCTGTGCTGCAGTTAAACTCTGCCGTTGTTGACTGATGCCGCGTTCATATGCTAGTCGGAACTCTGACATTTCCGACTTGCTGATTCGTTGAACACCGTACACTTATAACTACAACCAGGTAGAAAGTCGGGAATTTCGGCGTTTCCTAGTTCCGACTAGCACGTGAACGCGGCAATATTGTGCAAGTCGCGTGTGAATTGCGTCATCATTGACAATACAAACCGACATACAGACCAGCGTACTGAAATTTGGGTTAATAACACTCTGTTGATATTTTGTCACAGATTACCTCCTACACAAGAACAAAATCAGCCTCTGGGAATCGTAGAGACTCATACTAACGCAGCTCAAACCTAGTGGTGGGGACACTGTTTTGTGCTGAAACAGTCATCACAGATTGCTGCTTTAAAGGAGCAATAACTGTAAGGTTGAATAGTGTGTGTGTGTGCTTTCTTCAATTTAGGCCCGTGACGCCGATTCGACTGACTTGCTACCCTTGATGGGCTCTCTTTATACGGACAGAAGAAAACACATTATGGAATCAACCAAATCACCCAGAAGCTCCAAACACCACCATTCACGATCGAGGTCACGCTCCAGGGACCGAAAGCGCAAATCAAGTAAGTTAAAGGCACAGAATTTGATAATCAAATCCAAGCCCTTAACCAACAATGCAGTTCAAGAAAGAGTGAAGAAAATATTTACTAAATAAACTTAGTAACACAATAAAATAACAATAACGAGGCTGTATACAGGGGGTACCGGTACCGAGTCAATGTGCGAGGGTACAGGTTAGTCGAGGTAATTTGTACATGTAGGTAGGGGTAAAGTGACTATGCAAAGATAATAATCAGCGAGTAGCAGCAGTGTAAAAACAAATGGGGGGGGTCAATGCAAATAGTCCAGGTGGCTATTTTATTAATTGTTCAGCAGTCTTATGGCTTGGGAGTAGAAGCTGTTAAGGAGCCTTTTGGTCCTAGACTTGGCGCTCCGGTACCACTTTCCGTGCGGTAGCAGAGAGAACACTCTATGACTTGGGTGACTGGAGTCTTGGACAATTATTTTGGGCCTTCCTCTGACACCGCCAAGCATAATATTGTTTGTAGCTCAATTTAACACATTCAGGTCACTTGGTAGGTCACACATCTATCTTCAGATCCCAGGCCAACTGGTCATGGCATTTGTCTTTTGACATAAGCTTAGGGCAGCAGCTGTAAGTTGTTGACAGGAAAGTCCAAAATAGTCAATTACAACAGGTGACTCATTAGAGGCAACCCTAGCCCAGGTTCTAGAATGAGTGGAACTCAGGTCTAGTTGTATAACATATACCCACCTTGCGTGTTATTTCCCGACCTGTGCCTGTTTGGTTACACTTTTCCCACGCCTGAAGGTATATCCGTAATCGGTAGACTTCAGATTGGGAATGCGCCGTTTGCATCGCCGAACAGTGCCCAATAAATTTTTTTACACATACCTTCCACCCTCAGACACCGTATGCCGGGGTATTTGGTAAAAGCCACGGGGTGGTTTTTCAATTCCGTCAAAATGATTTCTTTGAAGTTTTTAAATACATTTGAGTATTTGTAGCTACTTTTTAAGTTGTTACCTGCAGTCATCTTGTGCAATACCTTAGCAGATAAAGCAGATTGCGTTTTTCATTTCACCGGTCACCTTATTTTAAATGATGAAGCTTACCGTAGTTCCCCAGAACATTTGAGCCAGTCACGTGTTTATTTGTAAATGGCATAACGGGAGAAAGGGAGCTGGTGAGTCCATAGCGTTCTATATCTGTCGGCCAGTCTCTGTTGTGCGGCGCACATGAGGTGATGAAGTTACACTAGTATGCAATTCACTACTAAATGTTTGCCATCAGTTATCTTATAATGGCATCCTGCCAGAAGTCAACGAGCTCTGGATGAGTTCTGTACAGCTGCCATATTTTCCCTGTGCTTCCTACGTATGTTTTTTTTCTCTGCCGTTCTTCTCCCATCTGCTCCCTGTATACAGTGAGGAAAAAAAGTATTTGATCCCCTGCTGATTTTGTACGTTTGCCCTCTGACAAAGAAATGATCAGTCTATAATTTTAATGGTAGGTTTATTTGAACAGTGAGAGACAGAATAACAACAAAAAAATCCAGAAAAACACATGTCAAAAATGTTATAAATTGATTTGCATTTTAATGAGGGAAATAAGTATTTGACCCCCTCTCAATCAGAAAGATTTCTGGCTCCCAGGTGTCTTTTATACAGGTAACGAGCTGAGATTAGGAGCACACTCTTAAAGGGAGTGCTCCTAATCTCAGCTTGTTACCTGTATAAAAGACACCTGTCCACAGAAGCAATCAATCAATCAGATTCTAAACTCTCCACCATGGCCAAGACCAAAGAGCTCTCCAAGGATGTCAGGGACAAGATTGTAGACCTACACAAGACTGGAATGGGCTACAAGACCATCACCAAGCAGCTTGGTGAGAAGGTGACAACAGTTGGTGTGATTATTCGCAAATGGAAGAAACACAAAAGAACTGTCAATCTCCCTCGGCCTGGGGCTACATGCAAGATCTCACCTCGTGGAGTTGCAATGATCATGAGAACGGTGAGGAATCAGCCCAGAACTACACGGGAGGATCTTGTCAATGATCTCAAGGCAGCTGGGACCATTGTCACCAAGAAAACAATTGGTAACACACTACGCCGTGAAGGACTGAAATCCTGCAGCGCCCGCAAGGTCCCCCTGCTCAAGAAAGCACATATACAGGGCCGTCTGAAGTTTGCCAATGAACATCTGAATGATTCAGAGGAGAACTGGGTGAAAGTGTTGTGGTCAGATGAGACCAAAATCGAGCTCTTTGGCATCAACTCAACTCGCCGTGTTTGGAGGAGGAGGAATGCTGCCTATGACCCCAAGAACACCATTCCCACCGTCAAACATGGAGGTGGAAACATTATGCTTTGGGGGTGTTTTTCTGCTAAGGGGACAGGACAACTTCACTGCATCAAAGGGACGATGGACGGGGCCATGTACCGTCAAATCTTGGGTGAGAACCTCCTTCCCTCAGCCAGGGCATTGAAAATGGGTCGTGGATGGGTATTCCAGCATGACAATGACCCAAAACACACGGCCAAGGTAACAAAGGAGGGGCTTCAAGAAGAAGCACATTAAGGTCCTGGAGTGGCCTAGCCAGTCTCCAGACCTTAATCCCATAGAAAATCTGTGGAGGGAGCTGAAGGTTTGAGTTGCCAAACGTCAGCCTCGAAACCTTAATGACTTGGAGAAGATCTGCAAAGAGGAGTGGAACAAAATCCCTCCTGAGATGTGTGCAAACCTGGTGGCCAACTACAAGAAACGTCTGACCTCTGTGATTGCCAACAAGGGTTTTGCCACCAAGTACTAAGTCATGTTTTGCAGAGGGGTCAAATACTTATTTCCCTCATTTAAAATGCAAATCAATTTATAACATTTTTGACATGCGTTTTTCTGGATTTTTTTGTTATTCTGTCTCTCACTGTTCAAATAAACCTACCAATAAAAGTATAGACTGATCATTTCTTTGTCAGAGGGCAAACGTACAAAATCAGCAGGGGATCAAATACTTTTTTCCCTCACTGTACATGCTGCTCTTCCTTCAGAAAAGCATGCATCACAACGGTATGACAATATGAAAAGCTGGATACCGCCCAAGCCTAGTACAGTCATTTCAGCATGACAACTCAAATGCTTCTCCAATGTTATGCTCTAAGATGGAGTGTTACTGTTTAAAATAGTGTTACTGTACTTACTGTTGTTAAAGGTGCAGTATGCAGAAATGGCGCCACAATTTCCTGGTTGCAAAAATTCTAATAGTTAGTCTAATTTCAGTTTGTGACAAACTGTATAGTGTAGAGAGTCATTGTACTGTCTAAACCACTGTGAAATATCCTTTCAATAACCAAAAATATAATATTTTCAGCTTTTTGAAGCTGGTGTACACAACCTGAAAGTAAATTACGCTAAAATGAAACTTAAGAACGGGAAGCATAGAAGTAGCGCAGATAGAACAGATCTCTCGCTTCTTGGACTTGCTTTCGATGAGTGATGAGTCTAACTCGCATTTCTATGTGATTTGGTCGGGTCGCTCAAAAAGTGACGTTGCAGTTTTAACTGTTTACATGACAGTGAGCTCTCTAGGGCTATGGCAACCCTAACTTGACAGTGCAATAGAATTGGTCACTGTTCTCACCAATCCGTTTTGTTACTTTTACAGGTGACAAAAAGCACAGACGAAGTCGGAGCAGGAGCAAAGAGGTAACTAATATTAGTTCATTTTAGTGAACTAAAAGTACAGCATTGTCACCAACTTGAATGTCGATAGTTTTCCTTTTTTTTTGTCTTAGATCATGGTAAGTACCAAACAACAGTGTAGGCTATTTAACCTTAATCAAAGCTTAAGAGATTTCAAGATGGGCATGGAATCAATTAAATTGAAAAAATATGTATACATTTTTTTCTTTACATGAACTTATCCTTCTTGGACATCTGTCACTTTTTAAGTGTAGCCGTCCGTACTAGATGGTGAAGATTGAATATGTAGGAGATTTTTTTCTTTTTAATAAATCCTGTGTGTAGATCACATGATAACATTTCTACAATAAATTATACTCAGCGTGCTAAAGCACGAAGAGACACTGAACTGAAGACGCTGCTGACATAGCAAAATTATATGCCTACTACTCGAACAGGTAACTATCAGCCATTCAAACTCATACTTGCCTCCTAGAATTAAGAAAATAAAGGAAATTAACTTTAGCATCTTTTATAGCCTATTACTGGGTTCAATTCAAGCTGCATTGTTATTACAATTACTCAAATACATTAATCCAATTCATTCTTAGCCCGCCTTTTGAAATCTGCACTTGTAGATGGGGAATGTAGTGTTACATGAACTAAAACTAAGCTATTAAAGCTGTCTCTGAGATGATCCACGGTAATCTACATTGAGTTTGGGGTACTATTTAAGGCTTTTAATACATGTACCTACCATTTATATATTTGAACCAAAACTAAGTAGAGGTGGCTGTACTTACTTGGTGCACTTGAGTAGGTGGTGGACATGACAGAACATATTTACATTTTAGTCATTTAGCAGACACTCTTATCCAGAGTGACTTACAGTTAGTGAGTGCATACATTTTCATACTGCACTACAAGTTAGGGATCTACTAGTCTAGATACACTGAACAAAAATATAAACGCAACATGTAAAGTGTTGGTCCTATGTTTCATGAGCTGAAATAAAAGATCCCAGAAATGTTCCATACACACAAAAAGCTTATCTCTCAAATTTTGTGCACAAATTTGTTTGCATCCATGTTAGTGAGCATTTCTCCTTTGCCAAGATAATCCATCCACCTGACAGGTGTGGCATTTCAAGAAGCTGATTAAACAGCATGATCATTACACAGGTATACCTTGTGCTGGGGACAATAAAAGGCCACTCTAAAATGTAGTTTTGTCACACAACTCAATGCTATAGAGGTCTCAAGTTTTGAGGGAGTGTGCAATTGGCACACTGACAAAAGGAATGTCCGCCAGCGCTGTTGCCAGATAATGTTAATTTCTCTACAATATGTGCCTCCAGCGTCGTTTTAGAGAACTTGGCAGTACATCCAACCAGCCTCGCAACCGCAGGCCACGTGTATGGTGTCGTGTGGGCGAGCGGTTTGCCCCTGTCAACATTGTGAACAGTTTGCCCCATGTGGGGTTATGGTATGGGAAGGCATAAACTACGGACAATGAACACACTTGCATTTTATCTATGGCAATTTGAATGCATAGATACGGTGACGAGACCCTGAGGCTCATTGTTGTGTCATTCATCCTCCGCCATCACCTCATGTTTCAGCATGACAATGCAAGGATCTGTATACAATTCCTGGAAGTTGAAAATGTCCCAGTTCTTCCATGGCCTGCATACTCACCAGACATGTCACCCATTGAGCATGTTTGGGATGCTCTGGATCAATATGTACGACAGAGTGTTCCAGTTTCTGCCAATATCCAGCAACTTTGCACAACCATTCCACAGGGCACAATCAACAGCCTGATCAACTTTTTGCGAAGGAGATGAGTCGCGCACTGCATGAGGCAAATGGTGGTCACACCATATACTGAATGGTTTTCTGATCCACGCCCGTACCATAAAAAAAAAAAAAAGGTATCTGTGACCAATAAATCCATATCTGTATTCCCAGTCATGTAAAATCCGTAGATTAGGGTCTAATGAATTTATTTAAATGGACTGATTTCCTTATCGGAACTGTAACACAATAATATTTTGCAATTATTTTGTTTTATATTTTTGTTCAGTATACTTGGACTTGGAGGGCAATTCAATTTCAAATTTCTCTCCAGTTAGACTATCAAGCTGTAAAGAGTAAAATAAAAATATTAAACAAACGTTTAAAAAGTATACTGACAGTGTAGCTCCTTCAAGCCGTTTATACTTTTGACATACAGTGCATTTGGAACGTATTCAGACCCCTTGACTTTTCCCACATTTTGTTAGGTTACAGCCTTATTCTAAAATGTATTAAAAATAATTATAATTGTCATCAATCTACACACAATACCCGATAATGACAAAGCAAAACCTTGTTTTTAGACATTTTTGAAGAAAAAATCTAAATAAAAAGTATTCAGTACTTTGTTGAAGCACCTGTGGCAGCGATTACAGCCTCGAGTCTTTTTGGCTATGACACTACAAGCTTGGCACGCCTGTATTTGGGGAGTTTCTCCCATTCTTCTCTGCAGATCCTCTCAAGCTCTGTCAGGTTGGATGGGAAGCGTTGCTGCACAACTATTTTCAGGTCTCCGGGGATGTTAGATCGAGTCTGGGCTCTGGCTGGGCCACTCAAGGACATTGAGACTTGTCCCGAAGCCACTCCTGCGTTGTCTTGGCTGTGTGCTTAGGTTTGTTGTCCTGATGGAAGGTGTCTTCCGAGTGGCGCAGTGGTCTAAGGCACTGCATCGCAGTGCTAGCTGTGTCACTAGAGATCCTGGTTCGAATCCAGGCTCTGTCGTAGCCGGCCGCGACTGGGAGACCCATGGGGCGGTGCACAATTGGCCCAGCGTCGTCCAGGGTAGGGGAGGGAATGGCCGGCAGGGATGTAGCTCAGTTGGTAGAGCATGGCGTTTGCAACGCCAGGGTTGTGGGTTCGATTCCCACGGGGGTTGGGCAGTATACATTTTTTTTTTTAAATAAAACATTGTATGCACTCACTAACTGTAAGTCGCTCTGGATAAGAGCGTCTGCTAAATGACTAAAATGTAAATGTAAAATGTGAACCTTCACCCCAGTCTGAGGTCCTGAGCGCTCTGGAGCAGGTTTTCATCAAGGATCTCTCTGTACTTTGCTGCGTTCATCTTAGCCTCGATCCTGACTAGTTTCCCAGTCCCTGCCGCTGAAAAACATCCCCACAGCATGATGCTACCACCACCGTGCTTCACCGTAGGGATGGTGCCAGGTTTCTTCCAGACGTGACGCTTGGCATTCAGGCCAAAGAGTTCGATCTTGGTTTCATCAGACCAGAGAATCTTGTTTCTCATGGTCTGAGAGTCTTTAGGTGCCTTTTGGCAAACTCCAAGGTGCCTTTTACTGAAGAGTGGCTTCCGTCTGGCCACTCTACCATAAAGGCCTGATTGGTGGAGTGTTGCAGAGATGTCCTTCTGGAAGGTTCTCCCATCTTCACAGAGGAACTCTGGAGCTCTCTGAGTGACCATCTGGTTCTTTGTTACCCCCCTGACCAAGGCCCTTCTCGCCGATTGCTCAGTTTGGCTGGGCGGCCAGCTCTAGGAAGAGTCTTGGTGGTTCCAAACTTTTTCCATTCTGTGCCTCGACACAATCCTGTCTCGGAGCTCTACGGACCTCATGGCTTGGTTTTTGCTCGGACATGCACTGTCGACTGTGGGACCTTTTCTATAGACAGGTGTGCCTTTCCAAATCATGTCCAATCAATTGAATTTACCACAGGTGGACTCCAAGTTATAGAAACATCTCAAGGATGATCAATGGAAACAGGATGCACCTGAGCTCAATTTTGAGTCTCATAGCAAAGGGTCTGAATACTTATGTAAATAAGGTATTTCAGTTTTACATTTTTAATACATTTGCAAAAATTCTAAACCTGTTTTTCGCTTTGTCATTATGGTGTATTGTGTGTAGATTGAGGATTTTCATTTATTTAATCAATTTTAGAATAAGACTGTAACGTAACAAAATGTGGAAAAAGTAAAGTGGTCTGAATACTTTCCGAAGGCACTGTATGGTCGGTTTCTGGTGATCAGACTTAATGAGGGGAATGTATGTATGTCTGAACTGAGCAAGAGTTCTCAACATGCTTTGGTATTTTCTGTATCAAACCGTTGTACTAACGCTCTTTGTTGCACTATTTTCCTGAAAGAGACAACTTCTTCTTAAAACAGGCACGAAGGAGGGAGTCTGAGAAGCCATCAAAATCTCACAGCAAGCCGGATGAGCAGCCGGAGCAGACTGAGAGGGGCAGGGAGAGACTTTCTGCAGAGAATGGGGAGGAGCGACACCGGCGCAAAGACAAGAAGGGACGGAGCCACTCCAGGTCACACTCACGGGACAGGTGGGTCTAGGCTCAGGGAGATGCTACATGATGTCTTGATATGTATTGAAACTGGTCATAGTAAACTGGGAAGAGTGATTTGCATGTATAATGTTTCTCCCCAAAATGTATTTACATACTGTTTTAGACGTCATCGCAGCAGAAGTCGGGACAAACGGAGTTCGCGATCCCCGCGGGAGAAGAAGAAGAGGGCCAGGTCCCGGTCGGGTTCAAAGACCAAACACCGCCACAGGAGCAGGAGCAAAAGCAGGTGGGTTTCGCTTGCTGCTTTCCCTACCATTTTCTGTGTTTGTCTTTGGTAACTAGGGATGTGACTGCCGTTGTTTTGGTTGAAAAGCTTAGGCGGCAATGCAGTTCAATCTACCGCAGTCCTGGCTTCCTATCGTTCTGTCGTCTAGTTACCACAGCCACAAAGTAATTAACCCCGCCTATTTCTACAATTTATCTTCTATCATTTTAAACCTAACCACACTGCTGACCTTATGCCTAACCCTAAATCAACATTTTGTTTTCATGAATTCTTACGATATAGCCTATTTTGACTTTGTGTCTGTGGTAACTAGTGGAAACCCTACCAGACAGCGCTCTCCTTACAGCTGTCCCCCACCCACTCAGCAAAGATGGTATTAATGCCGTTTTAGGTTCTCTGTTGTGTGCCTCTCCTCCATGTTGTCAGTATGTACTTCATGTCCCACTTCTCATCAATTTGATGTCTCGTTGTAGTGATGTATGACCGCGTGCTCTTATACATCCCACAATCTGTTAATGCCACCACGTATGGTGTTTGAGAGCTCGCACTTTGTACTTGCAGAGCAATCACCATACAATTTCTCCATCGAGCTGTCACGGTTTTTCGACATGTTATCTTGTAGTCTTGTTCTAGATATGTCATTAGGGGGTATTGAAGCCGACATCCTCTACCATTGACATTTACATTTTAGTCATTTTAGCAGACGCTCTTATCCAGAGCGACTTACAGTTAGCACATACATTATTTTATCGAACCCACAACCCTGGCGTTGCAAACGCCATGCTCTACCAACTGAGCTACATCCCCTGCCGGCCATTCCCTCCCCTACCCTGGACGACGCTGGGCCAATTGTGCATTGACAATGGATGCATACTGCAATCATTTCTGTAATCATTGTTGTGATTTTCTCACTCCTTCCCTTATCGCACTGCTGCCAGCAACGAGTTGGGTCTCATGGTGACTCCTTTTCAGCATTGCACCTGTTCTGCCACTGTAGCTCAATTCCACCTCACAAAGTTTGCATTGCATCACCTTCTCATTTAACTTCTCAAAGTATTGCCATACAGGACTTCGCTGATGTCGCTTCCTTGTCTCACTCTGCCATTTTCCCAACTGTTAACGACGATGACGTGCGGAGCACTTTGTATCCGTGGCAAATAATTTAAAAGATGCATGTCTCCTACTAATGTTACAGCATTGTTGCATTAGGTATTTGTTACATTTTTTTATTTTTCCCTTTATGATGATGATCAGGACCTGTTAATGGTAGTTTTGTGATGACTGCACTGTGATTGTAACTTTGTTTTAAAAAAACATGGTTCAGTTAGGGATTTTTTTCTATATGTTACCAATCCCAATGTCGTTTAAACGTTCACACCCCTATTGGTAACCACTCCTGTGTGCCTAACGTTTGCCCCTCTGTCAGTTTGTAACCGTGTGTGTGTGAATGCATATCTTTCTGTGGATCTTGAAATGCTATGTCTCTTTAGGGAGCGGAAGAAGAAGACTGAGAAAGTGCGCAGAAAAGAGAAGAGTCGTAGCAGATCTGTGAGCCCCCCGGCTTTCCGGGGCAGAAACACTGCCATGGACGCACAGGAGGCCCTGGCCAGAAGGTACCGCAGCAGCTTAGAGGAACTGTGAGGCTGAAGATTTGTTTGTTGAGTGTCTCTATTAGGTAGTTAATGTTTTAATGTCACAGAACAAGTGAAATGTGAAATGCCTTTCTTGCAAGCTCCAAACCCAACAATGCGGTAATCAATATCAATGTAGTACTAAAAATAACATAAGGTAGAACAAAAACACACCAGAAATAGAAAGAAATAAGAAGCTATATACAGGGTCAGTTCCAATACCATATTTACAATGTGCAGGGATACTGGAGTGAGGTACAGTGAGGGGGAAAAAGTATTTGATCCCCTGCTGATTTTGTACGTTTGCCCACTGACAAATAAATGATCAGTCTATAATTTTAATGGTAGGTTTATTTGAACAGTGAGAGACAGAATAACAACAACAAAATCCAGAAAAACGCATGTCAAAAATGTTATATATTGATTTGCATTTTAATGAGGGAAATAAGTATTTGACCCCTCTGCAAAACATGACTTAGTACTTGGTGGCAAAACCCTTGTTGGCAATCAGAGGTCAGATGTTTCTTGTAGTTGGCCACCAGGTTTGCACACATCTCAGGAGGGATTTTGTTCCACTCCTCTTTGCAGATCTTCTCCAAGTCATAAAGGTTTCGAGGCTGACGTTTGGCAACTCGAACCTTCAGCTCCCTCCACAGATTTTCTAATGGAATAAGGCCTGGAGACTGGCTAGGCCACTCCAGGACCTTAATGTGCTTCTTCTTGAGCCACTCCTTTGTTGCCTTGGCCGTGTGTTTTGGGTCATTGTCATGCTGGGATACCCATCCACGACCCATTTTCAATGCCCTGGCTGAGGGAAGGAGGTTCTCACCCAAGATTTGACGATACATAGCCCCGTTCATCGTCCCTTTGATGCAGTGAAGTTGTCCTGTCCCCTTAGCAGAAAAACACCCCCAAAGCATAATGTTTCCACCTCCATGTTTGACAGTGGGGATGGTGTTCTTGGGGTCATAGGCAGCATTCCTCCTACTCCAAACACGGCGAGTTGAGTTGATGCCAAAGAGCTCGATTTTGGTCTCATCTGACCACAACACCTTCACCCAGTTCTCCTCTGAATCATTCAGATGTTCATTGGCAAACTTCAGACGGCCCTGTATATGTGCTTTCTTGAGCAGGGGGACCTTGCGGGCGCTGCAGGATTTCAGTCCTTCACGGCGTAGTGTGTTACCAATTGTTTTCTTGGTGACTATGGTCCCAACTGCCTTGAGATCATTGACAAGATCCTCCCGTGTAGTTCTGGGCTGATTCCTCACCGTTCTCATGATCATTGCAACTCCACAAGGTGAGATCTTGCATGGAGCCCCAGGCCGAGGGAGATTGACAGTTATTTTGTGTTTCAGTTATAACTGTTGTCACCTTCTCACCAAGCTGCTTGGCGATGGTCTTGTAGCCCATTCCAGCCTTGTGTAGGTCTACAATCTTGTCCCTGACATCCTTGGAGAGCTCTTTGGTCTTGGCCATGGTGGAGAGTTTAGAATCTGATTGATTGATTGCTTCTGTGGACAGGTGTCTTTTATACAGGTAACAAGCTGAGATTAGGAGCACTCCCTTTAAGAGTGTGCTCCTAATCTCAGCTTGTTACCTGTATAAAAGACACCTGGGAGCCAGAAATCTTTCTGATTGAGAGGGGGTCAAATACTTATTTCCCTCATTAAAATGCAAATCAATTTATAACATTTTTGACATGTGTTTTTCTGGATTTTTTGTTGTTGTTATTCTGTCTCTCACTGTTCAAATAAACATACCATTAAAATTATAGACTGATCATTTCTTTGTCAGTGGGCAAACGTACAAAATCAGCAGGGGTTCAAATACTTTTTTCCCTCACTGTGTGTGTATGTATGTATGTATGTATGTATGTGTATATGTATGTATATATATATATATAGATTTTTTTTTTTACTTGACTGAAGGCCTGCATCTGTTCAGTCTGAGGGGAGTGAGGGAGAAGCGGTGAGGATGCATCTCATCCGACTCACCGTCCCTTCGCTCTCCCTTCCTCCACTGAGAAAAGGGGACAGTCTTCCAGCTGATGGTGAAATTCAAGTCGCACTGCATTATTTCTGCCTCATGCAGCAATTCATGTTAATCCTATGACCAGAGAAAGTGAAATATTCCTTGATATAAAAAAGACACGCAGCTAATAATAGGTCAAGCTTATCGGAACATTTTGCTATACTCATTCATTGCAGCTGCAGTGCTGGTTGTAGCGTGAGTGGAAGTAGGGAGAACACACATTTTATGGCTTATAAAAGTGTTGACAGTGCTGAATAACAACTTAAACATTAACTTAGTCATAAAAACAGCAGCTCTTTTGATGTATTCGTTGTCTCTAGTCATCTCGCAGTATCAACTTTGCTGTGCGTTCGAAGGCTTCTTTTTACAGTCTATGGCTCTAGGAAACTGCAGACAGTCATCTGAGCTATCTGATTGGCCAGCTGTAGGCCTATAGGTGCACTTCATTTGCTCTCAAGGCCTACCGGGTAGGCAGAGTTTTAACTTCAGACACATGAAATGGTTAAAAATGGGAACACTTTGATTTCTCGGCACCAGGACTGCTGAATCAAGTGCAACAACCGCAAACAGCGGGTAAAACATTTAAATAATAATAGCAACACAAGGCTTTATCGTTGGGTTTTGTACAGAAATGTTTGGTGATCGACTAGGAATGCCTTGGAGATCGACCAGTCGATTCCGATCGACCGGTTGGTGACCACTGGTCTAGGGTGTCTGGGATGATGGAGTTGATGTGTGCATAACCAGCCACAAAGCATGATTACAGATGTGAGTGCTACAGGGTGGTGGTAGTCATTGTGGCATGAAGCCTTAGTTCTTGGGAACAGAAATTATGGTAGTGGGGTTTACAGACGGGACAAGGAGAGGTTGAACATTTTACATGAATATGCCTGCCAGCTGATCTGCGGATGCTCAGAGAACGCCCCCTGGAAATGTCGTCCGGCCCTGCGGCCTTGTGAGTGTTGACCCGATTGACCTTACTCATGTCTGCCTCAAAGCGAGCTCTCCCAGTCCTCTGGGTCGGTGGGGGTGCTCACGCATGGTACGGTGTTATTGTCGACTCGTCCATAAAATGCATTGTTCGTCTGGAAGAGGGGCATCGTTGGGCAGATCACAGTTGGGTCTTCCTTCTGTAATGGACTGTAGCCCCTACCACATGCAGCAGGCGTCGGAGCCTGTGTAGTATGATTCCACCTTATTCCTATATTGTCCTTTTGCTTGTTTGATGACTCTGTGTAGGTCGTATCGGGACTTCTTGTACTTGTTTAAGTAGTAGACAATCTCTAATTTTGCTCCCAAAGCCTGGCTGACAAATATGAACTCTTCACTCTCCTCTATCTCCAGGTTGGAAAGGGCAAAGAAACTGCAAGAGCAGAAAGAAAAGGAGATGTTGGAGAAACAGCAGCATCAGGAGGTACCTGCAGGTGAGACACTCTCTTCTGCCATCAATTACACCTACAAAAAATGAATTCAAAGTGAGTAAAACCATAGAAACTGGTCACTAACTGATACCCACTTTTGCATTTCTAGTTCCAGCTCCCGTGCTGTCTGACACAGTAGTAGTTGCTGCTGCAGCTGCTACCAACCCTGTCCTCAATGTGGCAGCTCTCCTGGCCTCAGGGACCCAGGTCACGCCCCAGATCGCCATGGCAGCGCAGATGGCAGCCCTACAAGCCAAAACCTTAGCAGAGACTGGCATTGCTGTGCCCAGTTATTACAATCCCTCTGCTGTTAACCCCATGAAGTTTGCTGAGCAGGAGAAGAAAAGGAAGAAGCTCTGGCAGGGAAAGAAGGAAGGGGTAAGATTTTATGCTATACAGAAAATGTAGTGCAGTAAGTAGTACACTGGTTATTTGATGGAGCAGATTAGCTTTACTTTGCTTTGTAACCTCTGGAATGTAGAACTAGTGACTTAATGAAAATAAATGTTGAAAAAAACATTCAACTTTGCTCATGGTGGCATGATTGTTGCAAGTTACTAATGCATGCAAATTGTTTGTTTTGAAGGACAAGTCACAGACAGCTGAGTTGTGGGAGAAGCTGAACTTTGGAAATAAGGACCAAAATGTTAAATTTCGTAAACTGATGGGCATCAAAGTATGTATAACGGAGGCCTTTTATTTTCTCATTTGAGTGTGTACCATGCTGTAGAGCCTTGCATTTCTAACACTGTGGTGTCTGTCTTGTCAGGGGGAGGAGGAAGGCGAGGCCTCAAAGCCACTCAACGACGAAGGCCTGAAGACCCTGCAGCAGCAGGAGGAGATGTTCCATAACCTTGACGTTCAGTACGAGATGGCCAGGTCCCAGACCCACACTCAGAGAGGCATGGGACTAGGCTTCGGCTCTTCATTCTCACGGGGCATGGACACCATCTGATGCCAAATCATGCACTGGCTTGCCCTTGCTTTCTTCTTCATATAGGTCTCTCCACTCACAGCTAGCACTCAAGCTTGCATGGATGTTGTTGCATTGGATCTGTCATTTATTTAGAAACAATCTCACGTCTTTAAACATTCTCATGTAAATAGATGCTGAGCTTTCCTCAGTGTACATCGGTACATCTTTTCAGAATTATGCAACAGTTTAATGACAGTGATGCTGGCTGGATTTAGATTTATGTTTGAGAAATGTGATTGCTTATTATCTGTTTTTTACAAAAATTGTATATATTTCGGATGGTTTGAAATGGAACATTATGTAGATCAAGTAAAATTATTCTGTTTACATTAATTTACCAAGAGGCTTTACACATTGATCTGAATCCTAATCTCAATATGTAGTGTTATCTTTCATTTTCCTTTCTACTGAATGGAAATGTAAAACAGCGGATCATATTACTAAGATGTCTACCAGGCATCTGATGGTTTCATGGAAAGATTGAACAATAAACGTACATATGTTCTTGAAATAAAAGTCCCTTTGTGTTGAAGTGGTCATGTGTTTGTTTTGGCCATGAATGCTGTTTACACAGCAACAAATGTATTTCCAAAGGGTCTTTGCTGAGAGAGGATGCACACATCATTGATTAAGTAACACTGGAACATGAATGGTAAAATGTACACTTTTAGGCTTAATCTGGGAATGGTTAATGCCATTAACAACAAATTACATGACTGCTCCTGAGGACATAGATCAGGCTCAATCATTGACAAATCATTTAATAAAATACCCCCTCACAATAGCCTGGGGTAATATCTAGAGTAGGATATTTCAGTACTCTTTCCACCCCTGCATGACTCCAACTGCCTGTGTTTATACTGTATAAAAAAAAAGACCACTTCTGACATCCAGTGAATTGCATCATTTTGGTTCCTGTGAAGGGGTCTGTCAAATCAGCGTTAGTGTTCCAGAAACAACAGGGAACACTACAAGAGTACATTACAGACTATTGAAATGGAATTGGAACAGATTAAATATCAACTGGTCTTTTCATAACCTACTAGATCTGGTTATACTGTGTATCCTGAGAGTGTCTGCTAAATGACTAAAATGTTAACGTGGAATGATTGCATATGGAATATTGAGATAATGGAATATTATCAGTTACTTAGAACTGTCAGACTCAGACCCGACTCAGCTTTCATTACAATCCCTCTGCTGTTAACCCCAAGAAGTTTGCTGATGATCAGAGGGGACCAGCCTAAGTCTTATAGCCACTGGACTTTTCCTCTTCCACTCTGTAGCACCCACTTGGGTGATGCCCCAGAAGCTCTGGGTACCAGAAAGCTCACCACACAGTTCAGATTAGTAGCCAGTCGTCCTCATTACGAGCCCTCTGCCTCAGCACTGCTGTATTCCTCTATCTCCCATTCCTCTCACGCTTCAAGACACTCCTGAAATGATTTTCTCAAAGGATCAGGAACTGACAGCCAAGTGAAACAAAAAAGTGTCCAGTTGCATTTTTCAAACAAAAACATTAGCCAGCTAGCCAAGACAAAAACGATTTATCCTGTCAGTCAATCTGCAAATCCGTGGCTCAAAGACACCAGATATATGCAATAAAACTCATTTTTTAACAAAAACTAAACATTTTGTAAAACAAATGGGTAAAAAACACAAAAATATGTACAATATTTACAGAGCTCCATGCCTAGGTTTCTTCACGGCGCCATGGCATCCACGGATCTAGATAGATATACAGTTGAAGTCGGAGGTTTACATACACCTTAGCCAAATACATTTAAACTCAGTTTTTCACAATTCCTGACATTTAATCCTAGGAAAAATTCCCTGTTTTAGGACAGTTAGGATCACCACTTTATTTTAAGAATGTGAAATGTCAGAATAATAGTAGAGAGAATGATTTATTTCAGCTTTTATTTCTTTCATCACATTCCCAGTGGGTCAGAAGTTTACATACACTCAATTAGTATTTGGTAGCATTGCCTTTAAATTGTTTAACTTGGGTCAAACGTTTCGGGTAGCCTTCCACAAGCTTCCCACAATAAGTTGGGTGAATTTTGGCCCATTCCTGCTGACAGAGCTGGTGTAACTGAGTCAGGTTTGTAGGCCTCCTTGCTCGCACACGCTTTTTCAGTTCTGCCCACAAATGTTCTATAGGATTGAGGTCAGGGCTTTGTGATGGCCACTCCAATACCTTTACTTTGTTGTCCTTAAGCCATTTTGCCCCAACTTTGGAAGTATGCTTGGGGTCATTGTCCATTTGGAAGAACCATTTGCGACCAAGCTATAACTTCCTAACTGATGTCTTGAGATGTTGCTTCAATATATCCACATAATTTTCCTTCCTCATGATGCCATCTATTTTGTGAAGTGCACCAGTCCCTCCTGCAGCAAAGCACCCCCACAGCATGATGCTGCCACCCCCGTGCTTCACGGTTGGCATGGTGTTCTTCGGCTTGCAAGCTACCCCCTTTTTTCTGCAAACATAACGATGGTCATTATGGGCAAACAGTTCCATTTTTGTTTCATCAGACCAGAGGACATTTCTCCAAAAAGTACAATCTTTGTCCCCATGTGCAGTTGCAAACCGTAGTCTGGCTTTTGTATGGCGGTTTTGGAGCAGTGGCTTCTTCCTTGCTGAACGGTCGATATAGGACTAGTTTTACTGTGGATATAGATACTTTTGTACCTGTTTCCTCCAACATCTTCACAAGGTCCTTTGCTGTTGTTCTGGGATTGATTTGCACTTTTCGCACCAAAGTACATTCATCTCTAGGAGACAGAACGCGTCTCCATCCTGAGCGGTATGACGGCTGCGTGGTCCCATGGTGTTTATACTTGCGTACCATTGTTTGTACAGATGAATGTGGTACCTTAAGGCATTTGGAAATTGCTCCCAAGGATGAACCAGACTTGTGGAGGTCTACCATTTTTTTTCTGAGGTCTTGGCTGATTTCTTTAGATTTTCCCATGATGTCGAGCAAAGAGGCACTGAGTTTGAAGGTAGGCCTTGAAATACATCCACAGGTACACCTCCAATTGACTCAAATTATGTCAATTAGCCTATCAGAAGCTTCTAAAGCCATGACATAATTTTCTGGAATTTTCCAAGCTGTTTAAAGGCACAGTCAATTTAGTGTATGTAAACTTCTAACCCACTGGAATTGTGATACAGTGAATTATAAGTGAAATAGTCTGTCTGTAAACAATTGTTGGAAATATTATTTGTGTCATGCACAAAGGAGATGTCCTAACCGACTTGCCAAAACTATAGTTTGTTAACAAGAAATTTGTGGAGTGGTTGAAAAACAAGTTTTAATGACTCCAACCTAAGTGTATGTAAACTTCCGACTTCAACTGTAAGAGAGGCACATCCATCCGCATGTCAGAGTCTTTAGAGAGGGTTGAGTGGACGGGTGCAGTGCAGGTATTGTCTGCTCTGTGTGTGAATGTGTGTCTGTAATAATAATAATAATAATATGCCATTTAGCAGACGCTTTTATCCAAAGCGACTTACAGTCATGCGTGCATACATTTTTTTTTGTGTATGGGTGGTCACGGGGATCGAACCCACTACCTTGGCGTTACAAGCGCCGTGCTCTACCAGCTGAGCTACAGAGGACCACACAGGCCTACATGTGTACACTTATGGGTATGCATTCCCTTACAAAAAAAGACTCCAGTTTTGAAATTGCAGTAAAAGTGCAGTCGACTATGGTACTTTGGACGCAGTATTTGCAGAATAACTGCAGTGTACTGCAATTATACTGCACTGTAACTGCAGTTACATTGCAAAATTACTGCAGTATTTTATTTTTTATTTTGGACGCAGTATTTGCAGCATACTGCAGCTATACTGCACTCTAACTGCAATCTTTTATCGTAAGGGTTGCACATTGATGAATGGCTATAGCCCTGTTTATACCTGGTGCTAAAATGTGTCCTTTGTGTCTTTCAAATCATTTGCATACATGGAGGGATCGGGAAATCTGGTCACAATGTGGACACAGTGGATGGATAAGAGACACATTTTAATACCATGTGTAGACGCACATCTGAAATTGTGGGCACAATCAGGATGTGGACAATATCAGGACAAAGCACCTATGTTAGTGTACCACATGGGGATGTGTGAAACTTACTCCTCAGCCTGAAGTGTCCCCACTTGCACCAGCAAATAGCTAGCTTTTTGCGTGGTGTGACTTGTAAGATGCTTCGGGACGGGTGGTCACGTGTGCCAGCAAAGCAGAGGTCCTGGGTCCGAACCTCTGTGTGAACCGAATCAGGAGGAAGTGGGACTTGCTAAGAAAGGAGCGTGACATCCATTATATTAGCACCAGGTATAAACAAGGCTTGTGTTTGTGCTTTTGTAGGTGTATGGGTAGAGTATGTGGTTATCCGTGGGTGTGCCTCTGCCTCGCTCTGTACTCAGCTCCTCTGCTAGGGTCCATAGGGATCTGGTGTGGACAGTAAGTCACTAATAGTAGAATAAAGTAGCCTCAAGCAGTTGCAAGATGGACGGGTTGTTCTCCCCTCCCTCAACAAACTCCTCCAGAGACACCTGAAAAACACAAGAATTACAAAGGCAGTTAATGGCAGTTGGTGGCAGTTGGTGGACAGACAGTAAGAGGTACACATGGAGGTAGGTTGTGCATAAGGCCTGAGGGAGGATTGGGCTGAATTCAGTTTTGAAATCATTCAGGAAGTGAATTTAAATTAATCAATTAAAAATTGCCCATTGTTTTTATTAGGAAGGGAATTTATGGACTTTAAGCCAGAGACTAAAGACAGTATGGGTGGTAGCTAGGTGCTCACCATCACAGTTACTGTCCATCTTTCTGAAGATCATGTACAGTGGGGGAAAAAAGTATTTAGTCAGCCACCAATTGTGCAAGTTCTCCCACTTAAAAAGATGAGAGAGGCCTGTAATTTTCATCATAGGTACACGTCAACTATGACAGACAAAATGAGAATTTTCTTTCCTGAAAATCACATTGTAGGATTTTTAATGAATTTATTTGCAAATGATGGTGGAAAATAAGTATTTGGTCAATAACAACAGTTTCTCAATACTTTGTTATATACCCTTTGTTGGCAATGACACAGGTCAAACGTTTTCTGTAAGTCTTCACAAGGTTTTCACACACTGTTGCTGGTATTTTGGCCCGTTCCTCCATGCAGATCTCCTCAAGAGCAGTGATGTTTTGGGGCTGTCGCTGGGCAACACGGACTTTCAACTCCCTCCTAAGATTTTCTATGGGGTTGAGATCTGGAGACTGGCTAGGCCACTCCAGGACCTTGAAATGCTTCTTACGAAGCCACTCCTTCGTTGCCCGGACGGTGTGTTTGGGATCATTGTCATGCTGAAAGACCCAGCCATGTTTCATCTTCAATGCCCTTGCTGATGGAAGGAGGTTTTCACTCAAAATCTCATGATACATGGCCCCATTCATTCTTTCCTTTACACGGATCAGTCGTCCTGGTCCCTTTGCAGAAAAACAGCCCCAAAGCATGA